GTGAAAAACGCGGTGGCAGCGGGCCACTGTGCTAGCGCAGAAGCGGGTAGGACCCGACTGCACACTCGGAAAGGGGACGGCTCGTGGGGCGTGAGCGCTCCTGGCGCGCCTCGATCCGCGCTGGAGCCAGCCCCGCGGGTCCCCGTCCCGATCCCCAACACTGGCCGGGCTTTCGACCCTGGCACTGAGGGCTGGGTTCAGAGATTCCCAGCTGCACTCTCTGAATAGTGATTTTATTTTATTTTTTTTTTTTCTCCCCCTCTCTGAATTCTTTAGCTGCCAAAAGGGGGGAAAAATCAAGAGCTGCTCTTAAGAGAAGTTGCCCTTGCTGGTGCCCGGGGTAAAAATAGAGGCGGCCGCTCGGAGCGGCTTGGCCCAGACCCTGGCCCCGCGAGCCGGGCTCGAGCAGCGGCCGCGTTCCGGCGTGATCCCTGGGAGCTGCCAGCAGGTGCTGCTCAAGGTACAGTAGCAGGCCGAGCAGCGGGCCCGCAGGGCCGGGGGTGGGGACGCTGCTGGGGGAGGGGGCAGGAAGTGAAAGAGAAACCAAACCCAGGCAGGAAAAGTAGATGCCTGTCAGGAGTTGGGCTGACCGGCTTACCCCTGGGCCCTGGAGTTAGGAAGGGAAGAGATCATTCCCAGTCCGCGATACTCGACAGAAGTTATTTTAACCTGCCTGCTTCCTCCACCACCCCCACTTTAATTTCCACCGGTGAGGAGGCATTTCCTCGGTGTGGCTCAGCTCTGAGGCTGGGGATTCAGGTGGAGAATGACATCATTGCTGGTGGGCTGACCTGGTAGGTGGGCACTTCAGAGGCATCCGGTGGCCAACTGGATCTGAGTCACGGCACGTAGAGGGTCGCCCCTCTAGTCAGGGCCCTGCGAATTTCTGTGACACAACTGTTGACAAAGAGCCACCAGGCACCTCAAAAATAACACCACCTCCTATGTTCTGAACACGCACTTGACCCTGTCAGTTGAGTACTGTGGCTCCCGCTTTACAGACGAGGACACCCGAAGCCTTAGGGGGTTGTGTGGCTATAGGAGGCAGTGGAACCAGGGTCTGATCTGCGTTTGTTTTGCGCACCCAGAGCTCATACACATGATGGGATTTCCAGGACACCAGGGTTCACGCCTGGGAGTGGTTTCAGAGGCCCTGCAGGCCAGTGCTCTCCAACAGTGCTTATCAAAAAGGATGGTGAAGATCCTTCCTTAGGCAGGGGTCGAGTCCATCCAATTCCAAATTGATGGGCAGTTTGGGAGTTAACCAACACCGATCCTGTTTATATCTTTCCTTCCTAGGTTTCCTCTGTGCCTCTACAGCCCAATGATTTAGTTTCCTATTTTATTTCTGCCTATACAGTTCTCAGAATACCCCCCCTCCCCATCCCCAGCGTACAGCTCATCATCCCCACCGTCTCTGTGTTTAGCCAAGGCACACCCTCCTACATAGCAAACTTCTGGTGTCCTAAAGGAACCTGCTTCGACTACACATCAGGAGGCCAGAGCCTCTATATTTTGCTTGTGGGTACAGTGAAAAGTTTATTTTATGCATGTTAAATCCTGCATACAAAACAACATATCTGGTCATATGGCTTGCATTAGCTCCCAATTTTGCACATTTTATTCCACTTGTCATGAGTACCCCGGCTTATGCTTCAGTTGTACTCCTTCAAACAGCCCTTCCCCACTATTCTCGTCTGAAGATTCCTTCCAACTGTGTTATTTCTCGGCCTTGCTAGCAACCTTCCCGCCCAACAAAAACCCTAACCGACATAACCCCCGTTTCAAAGAATGTTCATTCCTTTTCACTAATCTCACGTTGTATTTGTAACAATTTAGAAATCGTAGGGCTTGAAGTCCTGATAAAGAAGAATGGGGTGTGATTCTTCCTTCTTCTTCTTCTTTTTTTTTTTTTTTTTTTTTTTTTGCTAGTTGGGAAGGATATTTGTAAAGTTCATTAGCAGAGAATGGCTGTTTTCAAAGTTCTTGGTGACAAATGATTTATGAAGCAGGCATTCAATGTCAAGATGTAAAATAATAGTGGAAGTCAGGGGAGGGGGGACCATCATCATATAGGTATACATATTTTCCCTTTTTTTTTCCTCAATGAAGTCTCTTACTTTCATAAGTAAAATCAGAATCATTCTAAAGAGCACTGCAGATTTTCTTCCCTGTAAGAAACAATCAAAGACTTTGTAAATAGAGGCAACTTCATGAAGTAACAGATGTTTTATGTGAAGACATAAAACCCGAGCCTGAATATAATGAGAAGTGTGTGCTCGAGTAGTAAAAGTTGGAAGTTGGACACTCAGTGAGATATAGCTGTTCAGTTCCAGTGTTTTTCTAAAAGGTAGTCTAGTCAGTCAGAGGTTTGACTGGCTCAGTGATCACCAAGTTGTGTCCCAGCAGCCAAGAAAGGCTTTCCATCAGATAATGAATTATGAAATATGTCTCACAGTGGAAAAACCAGTCATCTGCTGATGTCATGCTGATTCTAACCAATCCCAAACAAAGCCCCAGCCCTCCTCTGTTTGAGTGGTACCAATGTGTGAGTGTGCAAATGAGTAGCACAGTATAAAACTTGAGAGTGCCAATACCATGAAGAGGAACTCCTCACACAGCTCTTTCCACACGATACAGGAGTCTGCCGGTGAAAGACAGAGGACCGGAAAGGTAATGCTTTTTTAACTCTTACTTAGGAGCTGTTGACACATTCATAGTCAGGAAGGTTACAAGGAGTTGACTTACTGCACTTCCAATGCACGTTGTAATTTGGTACCTTTTTATATTATTCAGGCAGGTTAATAATACAGCTTTTAATAGTAGAGCATGCAGAGAGATTGTGTGTTTATACAGCCCATTCAGCACTTATATACAAGTACATATGCCACAGGGAAAGCTGTTTTTAAGAGTTACATTCACAAACAGTAAATTCAGGGAACACACACATACTCGACATGCAGAGGGAATCCAAATATTGATAACTTGCCCTTATCTAAATGCTACTAGTAGGACTCCTGAGTTGTTTGGAGTCATTAAACTTTTAGGTTTATTTCAGACTCTCTTGTAAAACTTAATTGGACTACAAAATTCTTTGGGTGCTGTATATATGACGCCAATGAGGTAGAGTATGTTAAGTTTTGTATTTCAAAGATGTTTTATTAACAGATCATAAGGCAAATAAATGCCCCCTCCCCATTCTCTTTCACCATTCCCTGCTTAAAAAAAAAAAAAAAAAATTAGGCTCTTTAGGAAATGTTGACAAAAATCTTAAGAAGAGCAGAGTAATCGATGTTCCTGGAGGAGAAATCCCAAAGGTGATAGATGGCGTGGAACAGAGAAAGTCTTGCAAGTAATTGTTTTGGAAAAGGGGGACAGTGTGTCCGATTCAGAAAAGCATTGTTATCTATGCAAACTGCAATTTTAACTTAATGTCACAATTTATTCACCCTCCTCCCCTGGCCCTCAGATCCTAGGCTTGTAGTAATGGTATTTCTTAACTTTTTCCACCCAAAGCACATTGCTTAACTATGATGCTCTGAACACACTAGGTGTCAGATATAAGCTGACTGTATCTACAGAAACTGAGGGCTTATGTGTGGGAAAGAAACCGAGAGAGAAGGAAAGCTTTAACAGATGGACCTCTTAAAGATACTTCTGCATGATAAAAGCAATAAGACAGAAAATGAAAAAAAAAGGGGGGGGGGAGAATAAAAAAAACTCAGAGAGGCATTGTTTAAAAATTCACATTTTTCTTTTTCTGTGAACGCTGAAATCCATGATGATTTCATCTGTGCCTTTCCTTTGAGGGAAAAAGAGGCCGTCAAGGGGCCAGTCCATGAGCAGGCTGGTCCAGGACAGGGTAGGGGGATGGCTGAAAAACTCCCACATGGCGGAGAAAATCACTTGCGAGTATATTTCAGAGATTCTTTTCCCAGAGGCCCAGTTATCCGAGTCATAGGAGCCCACTGTTTGTAGGGAATAATGTGGGAAAAGGCCAGATGAACTCTGCACTTTTATCCGTAAAGTCGGGGCTGGAGGTAGGCTGTAATTTGTGAGTGCGGGCGCGCAGGGCAGAAGGGGGCGGCGGCCAAGGAGAGGGAGAGGAGTTTCAGGTGACCGAGCAGGTTGACTTGCCCGTGGATCCTTCAGTGCGCGGCTGCACTTTGCGGTTGGGAAAAGTACAGGTTGTTAGGTGACCCCAGACAGAAGTTCTCCCCGCCCCCCTCAGATCCCCTACCCGAGCCGAGGACCCTGAACATTTAAATATGAATGAATGGGAGACCGGCCACCTCTGGGACTCCCTCCAGCCAGGACGATCCACTGGCCCCCGGTGACCAGCCTGCCCCTCTTCCCGACCTCCAGGTACCTGTCCACCCACCTCCCGGGATCCTCGGCGGCCCCGCCTTATGGGCCGGGCGGTGGGTCCCCTGGAGCAGAGGCCAGGTGGGCTGGAGGGCCCTGGGGGCACAGTGTTTCAACCCAGTCACCCCTGGAGATTGGGACAGTGCCTTCCAGCGGGGTTTTCTTTCCCGTCCAAAAGAGGAACTGGGTGAAGCAAGGGGACTGGGCAGAGAAAGAAAAAAGAAAAGGGGGAAGTAGAACAAAATTGGAAGGATTTCTTTCAGAAGGGAAGTAGAACTCCCGAGAATGGTGATATCTGAAGAGAGGTGTGTGTGAGGGAGCAGTGAATAGAGCAGCCTGTCAGAAACCGGGCTGTCCCTCCCCTTCCTAATCACAGCCTCTACTCACAGAGCAACTCCCTCCCTCGCCCATTCACGCACTCACTTAGGACCAATCGTTCTCTCTCTCCCTCTCTCTCTCCCTCTCTCTCTCCCTCTCCCTCTCTCTCCCCCTCTTTTCCCTCTCCCTCTCTCTCCCTCCCTCTCTCTCCCTCCCTCTCTCTCCCTCTCCCCCTTCTCTCCTCTCTCTCCCTCTCTCCCTGTCTCTCTCCCTCCCATCCTCTCTCTGTCTCTGTCTGTCTCCCCCCCACCCTGTCTCTCCCTCCCTCCCTCTCTCCCTCCCTCCCTCCCTCCCTCCCTCCTTCTCTCTTACTCGGAGACAGTCAGAACTCTCCTCCCTGAGAGCCACAAACCTACCGCACTGACTGCATTCAGAGAGGGAACCTGCAAACAAAACTTCACAGAAAACTTTTTGTTCTTGTTCCAGAGAATTTGCTGAAGAGGAGGAGGGGGAAAAAAAGAAAGAAAAAAAGAAAAGAAAAGAAAAGAAAGAAAGAACGAAAGAAAGAAAGGGGGAAAAAAAACCCAAACCCAAACCTGTGCGTGAGTGGGGGTAGGAAAAGCAGGGCCTTTTAAAAAGGCAATCACAACAACTTTTGCTGCCAGGATGCCCTTGCTTTGGCTGCGAGGATTTCTGTTGGCGAGTTGCTGGATTATAGTGAGGAGTTCCCCCACCCCGGGATCCGAGGGGCCCGGCGCAGCCCCCGACTGCCCGTCCTGCGCGCTGGCCACCCTGCCAAAGGATGTACCCAACTCTCAGCCGGAGATGGTGGAGGCCGTCAAAAAACACATTTTAAACATGCTGCACTTGAAGAAGAGACCCGAAGTCACCCAGCCGGTGCCCAAGGCGGCGCTTCTGAACGCGATCAGGAAGCTCCATGTGGGCAAAGTGGGGGAGAACGGGTACGTGGAGATAGAGGATGACATCGGCAGGAGGGCAGAAATGAATGAACTCATGGAGCAGACCTCGGAGATCATCACGTTCGCGGAGTCAGGTCGGTGCCGGCCTGGGGGGTGGGGGGGGGGGGGGGGGGGGCTGCGTCTCTCCGCGGCGGTCCGGGGGCCGAACTTGCGCCTCCGGCCGCGCGCTCTGCCCCGGGGAGGAGGTGAGGTGCCGGGCGCCGGTGGCGCCGGGGCCGGAGGGGAGGCGGGGGGTGGCGGGCGGGGGGTGGGGGGGGGGGGGAGGACTTCTCCGCGGACGCGGAATTCGAGGCTGAGCCCTGGCTGGAGAGGCGGCGAGCTCACACTTGCTGAACTCGGCCGGTGAGCCCGGAGCGAGCTCCGAGGGCCAGCGTGGGGCCGGGAGCCGGGCTGCGGGAGGCTCGCTCGCCCTGCCTGTGAAACCAGATCCGGGCAGCCGGATGAAAGCCCGGGCGTTTTCGGGTGCTGGGGGTGGGGGGAGCCCGGGAGGCTTCCGGACCCCATCCAAAGTTTTTAATGGGGGGGGGGGTGGGGGCGCGGAGCGCGGGTCGGGGTGGCCTGGCATGGATGGAGTCATTGTCTTAAGACAAACCTTCCCTTTAAAAGTCCAGTCAGGGGCCACACCAGGGAAGCAGGGCATATTCATTGGTGACAGTCAGTTTTGCCTTTAGAAAAAACTCTGCCTTGGAAGAGCAAGGGCATCACATTCTAGGCAGCGAGGAGGGACTTTGGGGGGACAGTTGACATTGAACCCGCGGCCACTTTTGGAACACTGACTTTTGCTCTCTGAGCAACAACAGCACCACCACCAACAAAAAAGAGTTTTGTTCCCTGCAAAGTTACTAAAAGAGCTCTCTGGCAAGGAACGCAACCTTGACAGAGAGCTCTCAGATACTACACTGAGCTCTCACTCAGTCCTTAAGAGGAAGAACTTTGATAGATTCTAATCCTTGGCTCTGGACCACGCTAACCTGTTGCTGGATAGAAAATACCTGTCAGAAGGGCGGCCACAGACCTGGAGCCAGGTTATTGGTTATTTTTACAGTTATGTGACACAGACCCTTTGCCTGCCTACACGCCCCTGCACGCCCAGGCACACAGATGTGTTCATACCGTGTTACTTTCATGGTGATGCCAGGCTAAAGAATTGTTTCCCTTGCCAAATCCATTTGAAAGGAATGCCATTGTTTTGTTTGGTAGAGCATATGGCCAGTAAAGTATGTGCAGGGACTCCCAGCATTACTGTTTAAAAGTTTGCCGCAGCCGTATAAACAATTAAGGCAACACTCAGAATTTCCAATCCTGAAAACCTGTTGACTCAGATGTTCTGTTTTCAAGAAAACCCTGCCAGACCTGGGCATCCTTTTGGGGGAGCAGATAGATAGCCTGCTGGCTTCCTGGCTCCCCTCGTAGGAGAAGCCCTGACGTCCTGCAAGTTTCCCCGCAGGACAGTCTCTCTCTCTCTCTCTCTCTCTCTCTCTCTGTCTCTCTCTCACCAGAAGCTTCTTTTCAAAGAAGGTCTTTCTTTCTCGAAGCTCTTTCTTAGTGCAGCCCCCGAAGGGCATGATAATGATGACTTTATCTGTTGAAGCTTATTGAGGAAAAAAAAAAAGTCAGGTTGGAGTTTTCAAGTTGCACACTCAGTTTTTCCTCAACCTTTCCTGATGGCAAGGTAGGAAAGAAAGTGCTTACTGACATGGAGTCCAGTGTTGGGGGGTGGGGGGGGATGGATTCCAGTGGTCTAGAGGTCTGCTCCCAGTGCTGACACAAAGGGACCCTGTCTAGGTTTTTATATACCAATTACCACACATGATGGCTTTAATTGCAAGCCTTACTCAATTGGCTTTACCCGCATCGGATGACTAAGTATACCTATGACTTTGACCACTTTTAATATACACCTGATGCTGGCAACAGCATCTGACTTAGCTGACTTGTCTAGCAAACCACTCTTTTGGCACTGAGAGATTTTGCAGTGAAAGAATTTGACCTTTAGCATTCTTTCTTACTTATGGCCTTCATCTCAGTGCCGGTCTTTTTCTTATTTATATGAAATCTCGGCTTTTTTTTTTTTTTTTAACTTTTCTGTTACGTGTTTAGTTTAAAAGAAATTGAGTTACTTTTTAAAAAGGTGATTCATTTGACTCACACGTTGACTCCAGTTTAAGGTTTGTAATGGAAAACTCCTCCTGGTTGAGTTTACAACTTGACTTTGGGTCAGCTGCTGGAGTCCCAGAAAAGGTTTATTACACTTAACTTATTTTTCTCATCTGAGAAGTTTCACACATCAACTTTAAGTTGGTTTACTATGACTTCACGGAATTAATGATTGCTATGTGGACCGTCTGCTCTCCAAGCAGAGTACCATATGAGTGAGTTGCTGATTTTGCTAACCAGGAAAGAGCTTCATCATCTGAATATACAAAAATGTCTTGTTGCTTTTGGAATAGTTCAACCTTAATCATATTCAAACTATGTCAAACTGTAAGAATTTGGAGAATAGCAAAGGGTATTCATTTTGCTTTTCTTTATAAACTATTGGGTAGCAGCGGATCCCAGTCAGTTAGTGTCACCGATGCCCGTGACACTGACGCATACCCACAGATGTATCTTTCAACCTTAAGATTCCTCGACTGGGGGAATTCCTGCTTAACTTTTGCCCTCGGCCCCCTTCTTGATGGTTAAATGAGGCCGCGATGCGGCCCAGCAGCTGAGCAACTACAAAAAGCTCAAGCGTCTAGAACTCTTGGAACTGAGTTTGTCCCACCGAGCTCAGGTGGAAAGTCCCATCTTTGTAAAGCTGATACGAGTTGTTATTAACTAAGTGGTGAGGAATTGCTCTCGGGCTCTCTGACATTCGTCCCCACAAATAAAAATTATTTTTTTTAATGCATGTCATCCAAGATTGCTCATCATTACTACATTCTCTGGCTGGCTGGCACAGAATCCTCTGCGTTTACCTTAAGTCCTTAAAGGAAAAAAAGAAGGGATGGGTAGAGTCAAGTCCACTCTGTCTATAATTGTCAATGAAGCTGGGATCAGTGGCCTTCTTGACTCCTATATCTTATCTTATCTTCTTGTGATCCGTGACAATATCTGGTCAGTCAATGCACAATAGCAACCTATCATTGAGTCTCCATAGGCTGACAGATTTACATACTGATGGTGGTAACCAACTTAGACATTGATAGCACTTGTTGGAGAACAGAGAGGGAAAGAAAGACAAATGGAGCGCCAAGAAATGGAAAATGCTCACTAAGCCCAGGTGCTGTTGAAAGTAACCCTTAAATCTCCCTTCTTGGAGGATTCTAGTTACAGAAGATTTGAATTAGAAGTTGACACTTCCCAAACAGGGGCCTAAGAAGGCTTGCTTGGATGACTGTTTTCCCCCAGCCCAAGAAAGCCATCTCAAGGTGGACTTGACTCCCACCATTCCATGCCAGTCTAATGAACTTTCCTGTGAATTACCCGTCACTGAAGGGTGCCTTTAGTTAGGGTTACACGCTTTCTTCTCCCAATAATGGGCAATGATTGGCCACAAGAGGGCGCATTCCAAAGACTTTTGCTCCTTCCCATTTAATCTAGGGAAACGCAATTTCACCTCCTGGAAGCCCCATTCTGCAGCACCCAAATCTTGGTGCTTGTCAGTTGCCCCCTGCTTCCTCTCGTCCTCCAGAAAAAATTAGGATTTTATGGGATGGGAGAAACATGCCTCCCTGTGATACAGTAAATGAGACAGAAGAAAAGAAATGAGAATTCTAGTGATGCATGTGAACATTGCCGAGCTCTATGGAAGGCAGAGGAATGATACATTTCAGAAGCAGAGCGTGGAGAAATGTGACCATGAATCATCAGCAATACTGATCTGCTCACACATCTCTCCCTAAGACGGCTGGCTGCCTGGGCTTTTACAAAAATGCCTTCCGGCTCCCCTCATTTCATTGCCTGGTTTCCCTGTCTTATCAACGCTTTTCACCAGGGACAAATGACAAGTGACTTCCAACAGGGAGGAAAGGGCTGTTTGGTGACTGCCTTGTGAAAAATTGGGTATGGCTTTGGGGGATGCGTTTGTTTCCGAAGTTAGAGTGTGCAGCGAGATGGTGGCCGAAAGACCAGAAGCAAGATGCCTAGTGGTTTTGGGCCTGTGACGTAGGTGGATCTGAGTGGGGGCGGTGAGCTGTCAGAGGGCAGAAAGTCGGCTTTCGTATTTGGAGAACTGGGAGTAATACCTTCCCAGGCACTTTTTGTGAGAACATGTTATTTGTCTTGGCCCCTCTTCTGCTAAACTATACTCGAGCATGAGCTGTAGATCAGAATTCCTCATCCTCGACTGGTCCCTAGATCCAAAACCCAAAGTGTAAAAGTTCGCAGGAACTTTGGAAGAGGTCTCTGAAATTTCTGTGGGTTGAATCTTAAGAATTTTTTTCTACTTCTTCTAGGATCCTAAGCCCCTTTCTCTCTCTATTTCATCCCTATTTGAATGGGAGACACAGGAATGTGGCCGAGCATTTGCAATTCAATAGCACATCCTAAGATAAAAATATTAAGGCTAAAAAAAAAAAAAAAATCCAATCCAGATAATTTGTGACCAAAAAGACCTCTGCGGCAGGTTAAAGGAGGCATAACCTTGAAGACCCCACTTTCTGCCATCTGCAGAGACCCCTGAAAACAGCCCAAATGCGAAGTTAGTGCTTTAGAGAACACGCATGCTGTAACCGGTAGTTCTGTATACTGGTACCAGGGACTATACCATATCTAGGCACAGTGAAACCTGGATGAAGAATGGGAAATTAAAGTAATAGCAGCATTTTACAAGGAGCCCCCCTCCCCCCGCCCCGCCTCCCGTGGCGAGTTTAAATCTATAAACAAGATTTTCCACATTCACATTAGAGACATAATTATTACCCATAGGTACAAGGGCAGCATACTTGGGGCAGGACCCTGGTGAGTCGAACAAAGCAGAATACAAACGAAACGCGAAGTGTGTGTGTGTGTGTATTGCTTGTATTGCTTATTTCATGAGAAATGTTCATCCGCCCACAGATCTGAGGTGTGGGGCTTGAGGGGGAGCAGAATTTTGAGTCCCGGTGTGGGGGAAGAGAACAACAAGGGGCTTGGCTGCTTAACCCTTGGCAGGCCTGCTTTCATGACTGAGTTATTAAAAACATCTGAAAATCCTGAAAGCAAAGGAAAAGGTGCTTTCAGGTGTTCTGACTTCTAGCTTCCGGTCTTTCCTCAGTCCAATCCCTCCTTCCCCGGCAACATTTCAAAGGTCTTCCCTGTAAAGTGCAATTTTTCAGCCTCCTACTCATTTTTATGCACCTTTCTCTCTCCCTTTGGTATGTGTCCCCCGAGCTCATAGAGGTTTAAGTGATGAAATATTATCACCCACATGGGTTTGCGTGGGACTTTCTTAGTGAATTACTCAGGCAGAGCAGGCTGTGATACAAGCCTTGCTCACGAGCCTCGGGAGGGAAAAAATAGCACAGAGGATGAAAAGAATATTATCAGAGAGTAGGTAATGAAAGGTTAGCAAAGCCACCAGCTATATCTAGTTAGATAGGTAATAATGCAGGAACCCAGAGCGCACCTGTATAAGCTAATGCTGTACCTGCTCCCAAAGCATTGTGGGAAGGCTTCCATTTCAGGATTTGATGCAGGAGATATTTAAGTCAAACCTGAAACTGATTAGTAATTGATCCTAAACACCTCAGCCTCAGGCAACCTCCTTCCATTTTTTTCAAACTGTTATGCATAGAGATTTGAAGATTGGAGCATCCTAAAAGCATCACTGCGGTATAACAATCTCCCTTAGGTAGAATACAGATAAAAGGGAATATAATCAAGTGACTAGTTATATTTTCCATACCTAAGAAATTCGAGGGTTGTAATATCTTTCTGAAACCTGCAGCCCTGATAAATATTAATCATCTCAGCTTCTAGCTGTCTCATTCTCTCCACCCCCTTCTGCAATGAAAGCTAAATGTAAAAGAAAAAAAAATATTGCACTGCTTAATAAGTCAAATACAATAGAACTTTTAAATTGTACCTGCATATAAGGTAGACATTAAGAAGACTTGCATCTCTCTCTTCCCCCTGTTCTCCTGAGCATTATGGCAACAGCATTTTCATGAAATTGGATCTGTTTTATTTTTTTTCCCTGATAAAATATCATGCAATATACAAATAGCAGTTCCAGAAACGGACACCAGGAGAAGGAGGCGACAGGCATGTCAATTAGTAGGGGGAAAATCCAAATGTCAGAAATATGGGGGAGAGATACAGCACGCAGGCAATGGAAGCAAATACAGGGAACAGAATCTTTCAGCTCAGATAATTAAACCAATGCATAAATCAGTGCTGTGCCTCTCCACAGTACGCAGGCGATGCCATGCAGTTAATTATCAGCCAGGACCAGGTTGAAAGTCATTTTATGATGCCTCTCTGATCCTAATATAACAGCACCTGACAGATTGAGCCCCCTCTAATGAGTACTCTCTTTGTATGATCCTCTCTCAGGAACACTAAATCATTTGCTTCCAAGTACAGCTGCCTGTGAAGAAGGGGAGGGGCTATATCCTGCGTTAGAAACCTGCTCCTGTGAACTGAGGGGCTCTCCTTTAGGCTGTTCCTGGAAGCCAGCGACCTCAGCCTCCCTGGCCCTAGGAAGGCAGTTTGCACAGGCTGTCGCGGCTTCAATCCAGTGGGCCAGTGAGCCCACCCTGGCCCCCACCCCCACCCCCAGCATATCCGTGGACTTCTCTGGACTCTATTCATGGGAAGTCCAATGTGTGCGGGTCCGCACTGCCATCCGGACCCTCTCTATCACCGAGCACTGGCTGCCTTCACCCCGGCCCCTCCTGTCAAGCCCAGGTGAAAGCCCAGCGGAGCCTGTGGGAACGAGTTACCTGAAACCCAGAGAGCTTTTCCCATTCTGAGGACGAGTCAGATTCTCCAGTTTCACACTCTTTCCTAGAAAAACAAAACACAACCTCGTGCCCTCTGGCTTCTCTAATTTAGCAGCTACTATCTCTCAGTCTTTAGGGTGGCACCCTGCACAGTTTAAGGTTTCAGACGCTGGCCTACGTCGAGGCAGAAGGCAGAAGGGAGAACAGCAGGTAGCTCGTGACTGTTCTCTGTGGGGCAGGGTGGAGGTGCCCACGCCGGAGGGAGCCTGCACCCTCCTTCAGGCCGGCTCTCCGAGGCTTGGGTGGCTTCCGGAAGCTGCTTGTCTTTTTAAATTTAAATCATTAAGCTCTCCTTCCTAGAGTCTGCTCTTTTCCTTTCTTAAACAAAACAAAGCAAAGCAAAGCAAAACAAAACAAAACAAACACAGCAACAGAGAAACCCACCGTTTGTAGCAAAGGGGCGTACTGCATTCACGTTTTGAAAAGAAATCATGGCCCCTAAAAAAAAGACAGTCCCCCCCCCTTCTTCTAACTGCTCTCCGCTCTAGTGATCTAATCATAAACCTAGCTTTATTATTCATTTCAACTCCTGCCAGGGACCCGGGGCTGGAGGCAAAGGGACGCCCCCCCACCCCGCACCACCACCACCAATGTGGCCAGGGTCCTACAACTTTATACCAAGATGCCGGAGAATCTTTTGTATACATATGTAGCCTTTCCTGGCCCTGGCCTCAGTGAATTTACCACTATCAGAATCGCAGCGTGCAGAGTGTGTTAAATTAAGAACAGAATCTACAGTGCGCAATGCACAGAAAAGCCTGCCTTCTGCTGCAGAGAACTTGAACGAGTGCCGAAAATTTATAGTACCGTAAACATCTCAGGGCTGAGAGTGATAAGTATGGCTGGATTTCCGTTAGCTATAGAAATCCAGGCAGGGAGACCCTCCTAGGGAGTTGCGAGTTCTAAGATGAACTTCTCCTGACATTGTTCTCAGATTTGTGTGCGAGATGCGTGTGCATGGGACTGTTGCAAGCAGGCACACGCAGGAGGCGGCCATGAAAAGAGGGCACGTTTCATATACCACCAAGGGGTAAAAGTGGAACTGAGGGAAGGTGTTTCATCAACCCGAGAATTCCAGTCTGGACACCTGCTCCTTGCAGTAAATGTTGTTACATGTACAGACATACAGGTGCTTATGGAAGGAGAAGGGAGTAGTGTGAACTAGGCAAGAACTGAATGGTCTCTGAATCCAACTGCCTCGCCATTGTGGGGGTTGCCCCTCTGTTAGTAGCAGTCGCTGTAATTGGGGCTCATTAAGCTGCATTCAGAAGGGAACGAGCCAAAAATGGGGCACACGGCTGTAGGGGGTGGATCTCCTAATCTAATATAACTCAAGGCTGAAGATGCCTCCATTTGTTAATAGGGAGTCAGGCGATTGCCTACTTCCTGGTAAATGCTGGACCATGACCGTGAACAAGATGGATAGGATCTCAGACCTGGGGCATCCTAAATTAGACTGGCAGGAGGGTCGGGGAAGTGGTGTGGTCTCATCTGCAAACCAAAACCTCATCAAGGGCAGCCACTGAGGGTGACGTGTTGGGAGCTGGAGGATTCTAGACGAGGGGCACACTGCCTGGAGGTGAGAGAGCGCATGGGATGCTTCTGACCTCAAACGCTGTGTGGCTGTGCCACAGAGGATGGGGCGCTGGGAGAGAGCCGGAGTTGAGGCAGAGCCCAGAGTCCCGGGTGGCTCCTGTTTTATACCTGCTGAATGGTGAAATGATGGGAGAGGGGCCTGGCTTTATGCTGAAAGGCCAGATGCAAGCAAAGACTGTCGTGGTGACCCAGAAAAGAAATGATGGACAAGTGAAGCAGGTTGTGGTGAGGGAGGAGGAGTCTAGCTCTGTGGGCACTTCCGTCGGGGAGGGGGGGTGTTTGCGTGTTTATGTGGGAACAGCACCGCTTCCACGACTTGCTAGAGCTCGCGGGGTGCTTTCATCTGTGTGATCCCATTTGATCCTTCCAAACCTGAGGCATAAGGGGTCAAATGTCTTTATGACATTCCCATTTTATAGAAGAGGAAACTGAGATTAAGCAGCTAGGGAACAGACACAGACCTCCCGGGCTTCTGGACACTGACTGAGATCTGGGCTCTCTTCTTTCTAGGGCAAGAGTTGGCAAACTTTCTCTGGAAAGGGCCAGAGAGCAAAGATTTGAAGCTTTGTGGGCCAGTCTGTCTTGTGACTGGCGGGGACCTAGTGCGAAAGCAGCCACAGACAGCCTAGGAAGAAATGAGTGTAGCCGGGGTCCCGTTAAACCTTATCACAGGCGCTGAAGCGTCCATTTCATATGATTTTCCCATGTCACCAAAATCCTATTTTTCTTCAACCATTTAAAAATGTCAAAAGTGTTCTTACAGTCAGGGGGCCACAATCCTCTGACCCCTGTTGGAGATGGCCTGTGGCAGAGGCCCCACACCTGCCTGAAATTAGTGACTGGTGACCAACATCGCAACTAACGAGTGTCCCTGCTCTCTCTTGTGCTGTGTTTCGTCTGCAGGCACAGCCAGGAAAACACTGCACTTTGAGATTTCCAAAGAAGGCAGTGACCTGTCGGTGGTGGAACGCGCAGAAGTCTGGCTCTTCCTCAAAGTCCCCAAGGCCAACAGGACCAGGACCAAAGTCACCATCCAGCTCTTGCAGAAACAACCCCAGGGCGGCGTGGACGCAGGGGAGGAGGCAGAGGAAATGGGCTTGATGGAGGAGAGAAACGAGGTGTTGATATCGGAAAAGGTGGTGGATGCCCGGAAGAGCACGTGGCACATCTTCCCCGTCTCCAGCAGCATCCAGCGGTTGCTGGACCAGGGCAAGAGCTCCCTGGACGTTCGGATTGCCTGTGAGCAGTGCCACGAGACGGGCGCCAGCCTGGTGCTCCTGGGCAAGAAGAAGAAGAAGGAGGAGGAGGGCGAAGGGAAGAAGAAGGACGCAGGAGACGGAGGGGCAGGGGCAGACGAGGACAAGGAGCAGTCCCACAGACCTTTCCTCATGCTGCAGGCCCGCCAGTCTGAAGACCACCCTCATCGGCGGCGGAGGCGGGGCTTGGAGTGTGACGGCAAGGTCAACATCTGCTGTAAGAAACAGTTCTTTGTTAGTTTCAAGGACATTGGCTGGAATGACTGGATCATCGCTCCCTCCGGCTATCACGCCAACTACTGCGAGGGTGAGTGCCCAAGCCACATAGCAGGCACATCTGGGTCCTCGCTCTCCTTTCACTCGACCGTCATCAACCACTACCGCATGCGGGGCCACAGCCCCTTCGCCAACCTCAAGTCGTGCTGTGTGCCCACCAAGCTGAGACCCATGTCCATGCTGTACTATGATGATGGGCAGAACATCATCAAAAAGGACATTCAGAACATGATAGTGGAGGAGTGTGGGTGCTCATAGAGCGCCCAGCCCAGGGGGGACGGGAGCCAGAGTTGTCCAGAGAAGACAGTGGCAACATGAAGAAGTGTTTAAGGTTTCGGAGTTAAACGAGGAGAAAAAATATATATAGAGAAATTAAAAAAAAATAAACTAAAAACAAAACCTGAAACAGATGAAGGAAGATGTGGAAAAATTCCTTAGCCAGGGCTCAGAGATGAAGCAGTGAACAAGATGGGAGTTGGGAGGGAAAGGGAGAAAGGCGTGCCCTTCGTTTCTTCCGGTATCTATCAAAGTGATGACATCCGTTGCTTACACGGGAGTATCATCCCCTCCTTTTCAGTCCCCCTTCAGTGTGAGCCTCGAAGTCAACTTGTCTGGTCTGCAGGAATGTGGGCTAGCACAACCCAAATAGCATCTAGAAAGCCATGAGTTTGAAAGAGCCAGTTACAGGCACTTTCCCATCCAGTTACCCAGGTTGTAAGGTATGTCTGTGTGACCCTCTCTCTGTGTATATCAGCCCGTGCACACACGCACACAGACACACACACCACAGACACACACACACACACACACACACACACACACACACACACACAGACGCGTTTCCACATAGCCCATGCACACACACGTACCGGTAAGAGAACTATAGTGTGCAGGTGGTACACTTCCTTTTCTGCACCAGTTTTGCAACAAAGCAAAACAGAACAAAAACCAACCTAAAAAAAAAAAAAATTGAGAGCAAGAATGGGAAGAGAGAAAAATCAAGGAACAAAGAATACCAAGTCACATTTCGTTAAGGTGCTTATGATCTTAGAACTATGCAACCTAATAGGTTTGAAACTGTTTACCTGAGAGAGAACAAAAAGAGAGACTTTTTTGTATTGGAAGTAACCTGATTAATTTTTATTTTCTTCAAGGAGAGATACTTGAAAGGAATATGTTTGTCCATCTGTTGGATCCAAACATTTCTATATTTTGTAAATGTTGTTTTTTTTTTATCGTTTACTATTTGCACTACAATGGTGTTTGACCTGTCTAATCCCTTATTTAACAAGTATTTTCTGTGGGTGGGGGTGGGGGGGGTTAAGAGCTGCACTTAATGTGAGCTATAAAAGAACTGCTACAGCACACAAAATAGCTATTTTTATTATTATAATTATAATTATTATTATTATTTTGTACCTTAAAAAATAGACACATACACCAAAGACATTTGTGTGAGCCTTTAAACAGTCTGTCTGTGGTTGGTATCATTCACCATCAGTGAGTCAGGGGTTGGGATTCAAGGTGGAGTAGGGTGGATCGTGTTCAGGCTTCGGAGACCTGAGAAGTTTGGGTTTTGACTCCTTTGACATCCATTAAGCAGGACATTTCATACTGGACGTACAGTAGTTGTACACTGTTGGATGTCAAGTTCAATCGGATTCACAGAACACTACATGCTTGTATGTGTATATATACATTGCTTGTGCATATGCGTACCTGTGTGTATATATACATGTATTGCATCATGCCCATATACACATTGTAAGGACTTCAGGCTGTCATTTTTTAAATGTTCTTAAAGCAATGAATGTTTGTGTGCAAAACACAGTATTTTTAAGAAGGATAGGCTATAGTTTTGCTTTTACTCTGAATTAGGTGGGCACGTTTCAAAAAGTTGGGTGGGAAGAAGCCTGGAAATGCCAGTGAATATTCAGCAAGACCCTCTTTCCATGTGCAGGGACTGAGTTACCTCTTCTCTCTTGTCCCCCACCTCCACCCCACCAGGGAGAACAGGAAACTCATGTTCTTCAAGGTTCTAGGCTGACCTGAAGTTGTTTTTTTGGTTTGTTTGTTTTTTTGGTAACTTATATTTATTATCTATTGGAATCAATCTTAAATCAGAAAGCTTTTTCAGAAAGAAAAAATTAATCTTTAGGCCTTTGGTTACTTTTTTTTTTTTTTTTTTTTTTTTTTTTTTAAGTCCTGTTTGTGAGAAATTTTACTTGCTGGGCTACATAATGTTGTTGCCCCTAGAAAAAAACTAAATACCTTGGGGGGGGGGAGGTCTTAAGAGTTTGAGAGTAAGAAAGAGAACTGCAGGGGTGACAGCAGTGGTAAAAATCCCTAATATTTTATTTAACTTACAGCCAAAACTCTTGATACATAAGTTTGTATGTATTGACTCAGATGCACAAAAAGAAAAAAAAAACACTTTGTTTTATGAATATCAAAGTACATGCTTAAAGCTAAATTTCTACTAATTTATTCCACAGTATTTAGCTTGCCTAGGATAGCTCATAAGTTATTCATTTATATGCTTTTAAAAATACAGAGCCTTATTTTTACTGACTTGTTTGAAGTTTGCAAAAATTGAAAAAAATACTAATAATTTGGAAAAAAATTGCATTCATTAGCATTTTGTAAAATACTGAAACTTTCAGCCCTATGTCCATTCATAGATTAAAAAAAAATAATTGTAGGAAAATAAAATAGTGAGAAACCAAACATTACAAAAGGTGGTTTAGCTCTTCTTGAGATAAATACTAAATCGGTATACTATGTAACACTAGGCTGTATGTAGGCAAATTATTTTAATGTTATTACTGGGCAAATATACTTACTACATCTTGAGGTCCATCCTTTCTTAGGCAGAAACATAACATGTACTACATGGGAGTGGACCCTAAGCGCAAGAGGGAGAGCATGCAAAATTGGTCCTTGCTTCCTCACTCTTAACCACTGACGAGGAAATCGTGCAGGTGGGGAAGGTGCGCATGGTGAGGAAAGCTTCAAGGAGAGGGGGATGGCAGTGTTCAACTTTACAAACTGCCATGAAAAACTTAGAGGGTGTTTTGAACTGCGTCTTAACTGTTACTGGAACTAATAGCGGAACCCATGAAAATAAGCGTGGGGAACCAAGTCCTAGTTCCCTGTGTGCTAGCAGAGATGGCCAGGGCAATGGGAAAAACAAGATGTTCGAAAGACAGTTGCTACCTGTTTGTGGCTCCCATTCATCTCAAGTGCGTGCCCCATCTTTGTAAGCCCTTTAAAAGAGTGCTTGACCTGTTGGGGGTAAGACGGAGTTTGACTAGTGGCCACAGTAATTAGAAGCAGAGCAAAGTGAAATTCCATACGACACTATTTTCATGGGATGATTTAATTGAAACTAAATGATCGAGTTATCAAATACCTATAAACTTTAACTTTATTTCATTAAATTTATATGGCCTTGAAATAGAATGATAAGTTATTGCTATCTTCAATAACCTTGGAAGATATGCGGGCTTGTGAATAACCCCACTTTTCATGTAGCAGCATGAGGCCAAAAGAAAAAACTTTAAAATTCTACCATATTGGGCTCTTCAGAGTATGTTTTCTTTAAAACAGGGTGGCTCTGGCTGATCTTAGTATCTCTCTACTCTTCCCTAGGGCTGATCTCTAGGCTCTTAAAAATCTACACATACCAGTCTTAAAAGCTCTGAAAAGCATTCGTCCCCAAGTATCTTTTAAGAATGATATATATTTTGTAGTTTGGACTCTTCTTTCTCCCTGTTTTCCTTTTTTCCTCCCTTCCTTCCTTCCTTCCTTCCTTCCTTCCTTTCTTTCTTCTTTCTTTCTTTCTTCTTTCACTTTTTTTTAAATTTTTTTCAAAAAGAGCATGGCAAATTCCAGCACACTGACTTGGGGTTTTTCTTGCCCCAGAAGACCAATCAATTTCATAGATATTTAAGATTGATTCCACACTTTTTTTCCAGGAGAATGCCTGCATTCTCCTCTAAGGAAGAGCAAGTGAATTTTTTTTTTCACCCCCGTGGGATTGGACCTCAAGAAGTAAGTCTAAAAAATAGAGAGCGTGAATGCCCCAGTTGTATTAAGCTTAGATTCAAATTATTATGTTCACTTGAAAAAATGATTTCCCGGGGGCCTTTTGGCAACTTCCCTTTTCAATGTAGAGAAAAACTTAGTCACCCTGAAAACCTACACAATAAACGAAACTTGTAGATGTGGGCAGGAGGTTTGGGGGTGGACATTGTGTGTGTTTAAATTAAACCCTTTATCACTGAAAGCTGTTGTATGGGTCAGAGAGGATGAATGCTCACTCAGAAGCTGTTCACATCTTCAAGAGCAGAAGCAAACCACATGTCTCAGCTCTATTATTTATTTTTTATGCATAAAGTGCATCATTTCTTCTGTATTAATTTCCAGTGGGTTTTACCCTCTATTTAAATGCTTTGAAAAACAGTGCATTGACAATGGGTTGATATTTTTCTTTAAAAGAAAAATATAATTATGAAAGCCAAGATAATCTGAAGCCTGTTTTGTTTTAAAACTTTTTATGTTTTGTGGTTGATGTTGTTTGTTTGTTTGTTTGTTTTTATTTTTTATTTTTATTTTATTTTATTATTTTTTTTGTTTTGTTTTGGCATACTACATGCAGTTCTTTAACCAATGTCTGTTTGGCTAATGTAATTAAAGTTGTTAATTTATATGAGTGCATTTCAACTATGTCAATGGTTTCTTAATATTTATTGTGTAGAAGTACTGGTAATTTTTTTATTTACAATCTGTTTAAAGAGATAACAGTTTGATATGTTTTCATGTGTTTATAGCGGAAGTTATTTATTTCTATGGCATTCCAGCGGATATTTTGGTGTTTGCAAGGCATGCAGTCAATATTTTGTACAGTTAGTGGACAGTATTCAGCAGCGCCTGATAGCTTCTTTGGCCTTATGTTAAATAAAAAACCTGTTTGGGATTTATTTTTTATTTTTATTTTTATTCTATGTCTTATTGGTTTTCCAAGATCAACTTGGCACACACACTGCTACACCCTTCGCTGGGTGATAATTTCATTTCTCCTGTAATTCTTGGGCAAAGTATGAGACACAGACTGAACGGAAGAGAGAGGGGACCAAAGCTGGAACAGGAGAACTGAGGGAGGAAAAGAATAACTATTGCTGTGGCAGGGCTTTGTAATAAGCTGCAGATGCTTGGACCAGCAGGAGTTATATTTTATTCATTTTGTTAATTTCCTATTTCTCAAGCTGTAGTGGCAAGTAACATGAAATAAAGCAACATTCCCTTCTTCCCTCCGTCCCTTCCTCCCTCCTCCTTCTCTCCTTCCCTACGTCCTCTCTTTTCCCTCCCTTCTTTCTTATTCCTTTCCTTCTGGCTAGAAAATCCGAATTGCATGAGAGCAGAAAAGAGCATACCTTAGGAAAGAAAAGAACCTAGACCAACAGGACCAATATGGAAAGAAGGACAGTCAACAATGAATTGATTGTTTAATCTTTTCTTCTATAGGTTTCCCTGTAGTATCTGTGCCAATCAAAGAGATTATATGGAGAAACTAACTCCTGTAAACACCCTGGGTACTGCCGGGTGAACCAAGCAAGTCCTGTGTGCCCATTGGGTAGATGTTACTTTCCCTGCTTTTACATCCGAGGCATAAAGTAACATTAATTGGAACTAGGATTCCAATCCAGGTCTATCTTCAAGTCTAAAGTTATTACTTTGCTGCCCCGGACCCTGATATTTATATTAGTTTCTTTATGGACTGAGAAAAAAAAGAGGGAGGTGGCCATGGGGGTTGGGACTGAGTGTTGAAGACACTTCTAACTTTTTACCACACTTTATATTCACCAGACAGTTTACTTATCTCCAAGTGAAATGCCAGGTTCATGTAAAATCGTATTAAACCCTTTTTATTTGTTTTAGGTAGAAAAGTTACATTTTTTGAAAATTAA